GGTGACCCTAGAATCATTCAAATGGTTAAATGATTCTTTTTATTCACCCCGTTTATTTATTTCTCGATATTAAAAAAAAATTAAATATAGAGAAAGACAACTCTAGGATGGAGACTGTGACCCAGTGTTGACCCAGAGTTGGCATTTCATCCCTCAAACAATCGTTGCCACCCTTCCCCTTATTTTAATACACCTGCCGTGGTCGCTCTGAACATACAGTTATCGCCAGAATTGTCCACCAACATTTCTACCTCGTTAATGAATAAAAATCATCTGTCTGGGTTTTGGATTTTGCCCAGAGCTAGCACATTAGCGTTCAAACATATTCATTTAATTATCCATATCCTTCAACAATATCATTATATGCTTAAAATAACTCAGCAACAATCGGAAAGGGATCATAGTACACCCTGCGTTTAGATCTCCTCCAAATTCACCATTTAACCTCAACTCGGTGTTTTTGCTCAACCCAGACTGGGTTGCTGGACACAACCCAGTCTGGGTTCACTCTGGGTTAGCTCTGGGTGCCAACCATCAGGGTCTCGCTAAAAAATTATTTCACAGCAGTCAATTTCATGGAAATAGTCGGGTGGACGGAAATTCTACTAGCGTAGAACTTCCAGCATATTACCTGAGCTTTCTCTATACTGATAATTTTGCTAAAACTACTGTTAGTAAACGTCTAAGTTTTTTCCAGCCCATTTTTGCAGGCACTATTTATACCATTATCGATAGGAATTATTCACCATCGGAAACTTTATTTTACTATTTTTTTGTACCGTGTATACATGAATACCCCTACCCCCCGCCCCCTTCCCCACACCTGTGCGCACTCCTTCCACTGCTCAAGTGAGCTCAAGTACTTGAGTGATTGCATTCTCGTGCAAACTATTGTTCAGTGCGCATTTTCCGTGTATACGCAAAAAGAAATCAATCGTGAAGTTTTACTGTGTGGTAACCGCTGATCAACATCGTCCAAATGGTAAGTTCAATAATATTAATATTGAAATAACAAAAATTACTTTCTTCAATTCTTATGATCACTCGCACACTCAACGACACGTACAATGGCAATTATGGGAAAATTTCATTTCATACGGAAAACGTCGAGTATATCGTACCAGTTCTTCAAATAACTTTAATTTTCTATACGATTTTTCACCAAGTTATCAATAAACATTCAGTTCCTTTTTTTAAAAAAAAAGATTAGAATCAAACCATAATTTTCCCCGAGTTCAATGTTTACGTGTTAGTATCAGGCAATCCACTACTTCCAACATAATTTTCCCCTAAAAATGGTTCGATATAACGCGTTGCATACTTAAAATTAGAGTATAATTGCGCCTTCCTTAGACCTTATTTTTGAGTCACATAAGAATAAAGTTGTCATATAATTTTATAACAACGTCTTTCCACCGGTTTTTTTCGTATAGCAAATTTGGAGGGAATAAGCAATTTACCCTACTGAATATTAAATGAATATGAGTTAATTTCACTTTCAATTCAATCCTCAGAATAGTTTCATCGTGAAAATTCAAGGTGATAAGGCCGGGAGTTGGGTGTATTTATACCAAAATCACCGTCTGTATTTCGATGCACAAGCATCGCAAACTAAAAACGTTTATCGTTGTGCACATCGGCGGAAAGGCTGCAAGTTTATCCTTTACGAACATCTGAATGGTTCCATTGGGGATAATGGAGAGGAGCATTTAGACTTAGAAGACTCAACAGCCATCGAAACCGATAATTATCGGAAAGCAGTTGATGAGACTGTGCGTGCAGGAGGCAGTCTAAAAGTTATTACAAATACATTGACAGAAAGGTAATCTATGGTGCATACAAATGTGAAGCTCCATCTTTAGAATTGATTCTTAAGAACAATTTAATTCTACTCACATTTTATTTTATTCTACTCACAATTTTTATTTGTTATGTCCGGGACTAGTGGTCGGGAAACCACGTTATTTATTGTTAAAATAAATGCGCCTCCGAATTAACGGTAATAAAAATAATTTGAGTCGGAGTGTTGCTCATGGACTCGTTCCCGAAAAGTTTGTCGAAGTTTTTCCTTATAAGATGCAAATAGTTCTTATATTCCTTTTCGTTTCTGGAAGGTTTAATTAGAATGTCTGGGAAAGAGGGATACTTTCAACTCTTTTAAGCCAGATTTTTAATGTCTACTCAGAATGTTTATTTATGCCGATCTTTTGTACAACTTGTAATTGATATTCCTTTAGAACAATGTGATTCTTGACAATTTAGAGTGATCTTTGATTTGATTCTATATAATTCAAAATTCGCATGACAAGAAG